TTACAAATAAAAATATTCATAAGTGTTGCTCATTAAGATCATTTATCAATTAAGTTAAGGTCATGCTAAGCCACACCACTTGCCCATAATAATTATCTCCGTAAGCCTAATGTCTAATAACCATATACGAAGTGGAACAAAATGGGCAAGAGACGCTGTACGAGTGCGACGAGACACTCGAGTACGAGTGAGCTCGAAGGCGTTATGCTCAGTTACAACTCAGCCCTAACTACATAATAATTTAGAGTAGTTTTTTAAAGGGGCCTTTAGCCAATTGATCTACCATTGAGATCTTGTTAAACAGTAGGCACTCGTGTGCGTCGGTCTGTCGGTCGATCGGTAACAAAACAAACAATAAAATTAAATAATTACAAGTCGTGAGTGAATTTCACGCGAAACCAAATGCTGATGCACACACTCTGATAATGGACAAAAGCAAGAAACCCAAAGAGTTGTCTGACTATTCGAAAAATGCACAACGGATGCCTCCTGACCAAAGGACACAAGAGCAATAAAACAGAACAGCGACATAGCAACAGTAAAAGCAACTGCAAAAAGCCCGTTTTATATCGATGACCACGCACGAATGTAGGCAGTCGGACAGTCAGCCATTCAGGCACTCCTCTTCAGACAGAGGCAAACCATTGTTAGCGATCGACCGACAGTCCAGTCCAGCATATAAGGCGAGCAAGAGGCAAGCATCCCCACTAAATTCCAGGAACATGTTTACATGTTCGAAAAATGCTGCCTGCCCGACCATATGGGTGACAATTTTTTTAGCATCAAATCAAAGAGACCCTGTTGCATGATGCTGCCAAAATTGGCAGAGATGATATGATAAGTGTTCTTCATTTACTACTATATATGTTCCCCAATGGTTTGGCGGCGACCACCATCTGATATCTTTTTAGTCTTTAGCTTTTATAGTCTTAGCTCTCATGGTCTTTTATAGCTTAGCCGTCTCTCCGTAGATTTTGACAGGCGATACCTTAAACGACGCCCAATTAATCACCTATTCAAAAAAATAGTGAACACAGGATTTTTATACCCGGTACTCGAAGAGTAAATATAGTATATTTTATTTGTGCTGAATAACGGATGTATGTAACGCAGTGAAGGAAACGCTTCCGATCCCACAAAGTGTATATGTTCTTGATCAGAGCCACCAAATTTTGCATCCAGACTTCTGTATGCTCACACTGTTACAGGTGTATTTCAGAAATGAGCCCCGCCCCCGTCCTACGCCGCAAAAGGGCGAAAACCTCCCAAACCTACAATTTTGAAGATAGCGCCTAGTACTCCGAGACCATAAGAGATAGGGCAACCAAGTTTTGCATCCAGACTTCTGTATGCTCAGACACGCTCTATCGACTCGGCTATTGATGCTGATCAAGAATACATATACTTTGTGGGGTCAGAGACGTTTCCTTCTGTTCGTTACAAACATCCGTTATTCCCCACAAACACAATATACTTTATTTACTCTTCGAGTAATGGGTATACAAAATACAAGATTTTGCAAATCCTATAAAAAAAGTTCTGGAATAGAAAAAAAAACGAGAAGGGACGTGTTAGACATTTCTTACGCGTCAAAACTTTTATACTCGGTACTCAATAGGACATCTGCACCTTAGTAGTTTTTTTTAACTTTACATTTTTCCTTCATATGTATGTCATAAACACCTACATATACATTACTTCTCACGCCAACACACTCTTTTAACTCGCCCCCCTCCCCTAGAGCCACACATCGAAGTGGCACTGCAGAGGCAGAGGCCGCACACTGCAGAAGAAGAGTGTAGATGAGAGAATGAGCAAAAAAACGACAACAAAAAGCTGCGGGATGGGGTGGGTCTAGCCACTGAAAATTAATTGTGGCTATAATAATGATCCAATTGAATCCCAATTCGGTGTTCGATATGGTCATTCCCTACGGAATGGCGTTTTTAGATTTCTTTTATCTTCAAACCTGTGGATACCGCAGATTTTCGCGATTTTCAGGGGCGGATGGGGACGGGGCGATATTTTGAAATACACTTGTAGCAGTGAGAGCATACAGCCATCTGAATGCAAGAATTTGGTGGCTCTAGCTTCTATAGTCTCTGAGAACCAGGCGCTCAACAAGACGGACGGACAGACGGACGGACGGACAGATAGACATGGCTAAATCGACTCGGCTATTGATGCTGATCAAGAATATATGTATGTACTTTGTGGGGTCGGAAATGCTACCTTCTGTGTGATAAATTTTTCGCCACATATAAAACATAAAAAGTTGGTCTGATAGAAGCGGCAAAATCGTGTTGAGTAGTGTAAAAATATTGTGGTAATTCAAATAGATTCCAAAATAGTAATTTAAATGTAATAGAATAGTAATGTAATAGTAATAGAAAATATAGCTGTTGTTAAATTAAACAATGATAATAAATATACAAAAAACGGAGGAGGTTGAGTCGTTTCTTACGCGTCAAAACTTTTCTATCCGGTGCTCTGTCAATATATTATTAGTCCTTAGTGGTTTTTTCTAATTTTACATTTTAAATTTCATTTTTTCTGCATATTTCATCTACATCTACATCACTTCTTACACCAACAAGCCCTTTTAGCTCGCCCCCCTCCCCACCGCACACTGCTTGAGGCAGTGTGTGAAGGCGAGAAAGAAAAAGCAACAATAAACAAGAACAAACGAAGCTGTTGGGCGGGGTGGGGTAACCACTGCAAAATAATTTTTTCCTTCTGGCTATTATAAAGATCCAAATTAATCCCAATTCAATGATCTGATAGATATGGTCATTACCTACGGAATTGCGTTTTTAGATTTCCTTTATTTTCATAAATGTGGTGGGGGCGGGGCTAATAATACCCGGTACTCGAAGAGTAAATAGGGTATATTGTATTTGTGGGGAATAACGGTTGTATGTAACGCACAGAAGGAAACGTTTCCACCCCATAGGGTATATATATTCTTGATCAGCATCAATAGACGAGTCGATAGAGCCATGTCTGTCTGTCCGTCTGTCCGTCTTATTTGTCGGCTAGTTCTCAGAGACTATAAGAGCTAGAGCCACCAAATTTTGCATCCAGACTGCTATATGCTCACACTGAAACCAATGTATTTCAAAAATGAACCTCGCCGCCTTCCGCCCCCGCAAAAGGGCGAAAACCTCCCAAATCTACAATTTTAAAGATAAAAGAAAACTAAAAACGCCATTATGTAGGGAATGGCTATCAGATCATCAAATTGGGATCCGATCGGATCATTATTATAGCCAGAATAAAGAAATTATTTTTCTGTGGCTAAACCCACCCTGTCCAGCAGCTTTTGTTGTTCCTTTCACATTCTCCTATTCACACTCTGCTTCTGCTTCAGTCGGCCCCTGCCTCTGCCCTCCCCCTGCCAATGACTCTTCCGACTTTTAACCCACCCCGTCCCGCAGCTTAAATTTGTTTTTTGTTTGTGTGCGGACGGTGATCTACCTCTGCCTCGAGTCTGCAGTATGTGGGTCTAGGGAAGGGCGGCGAGCTAACGGAGCGTGTTGGTGTGAGAAGTGTTGTAGATGACAGATGAAGAAAAAATTTAAAATTTGACACAACACCGCTAAGGTGCAGATGTAGTCCTGAGTGCCGGGTGTAAAAGTTGTGACGCGTAAAAAGCGTCTCACACGTCCCTTGTCGTTTTTTAAATACACTCGAATTAGAGCTATATCACAGCAGTCTGGATGAAAAATTCGGATGTTCTAGCTCGTATAGTCTATGAGAACTAGCCGACAAACAAGACGTACGGACGGATAGACGGACAGACAGTCATGCCTATAGCGACTCGGCTATTGATGCTGATCAAGGATATATATACTTTGCGGGGTCGGAAACGATTCTTTCTGTGCTTTACGTACATCCATTTTCTTTTCAATGTACCCTGCTTACTCTTCGTGTGCCGGGTATAATAACTTAAAATATTACTTAAGGACCTTCTAATGGCACAATTCAAATGAGAAATTAGCAGTGACTTTATTATTAGTAACCCCTTCACATACGAGTATGTACGATATAAGGTGTGTGGGTCAGTAATTAAGTTTAAGTACACGGAATGCGCTGGCTGTGCGTGCGAATCGTGGTCCCTGAGCACCTTCGTAGGACACATGCCACATGTCCACTGGGAGCCACAGAACGCACCCAGTTTTTTTTTTATACCCGGAACTCGAAGAGTAAATAGGGTATATTGTATTTGTGGGGAATAACGGTTGTATGTAAAGCACAGAAGGAAACGTTGCCGACCCCATAAAGTTTATATATTCTTGATCAGCTTCAATAGCCGAGTCGATAGAGCCATGACTGTCTGTCCGTCTTGTTTGTCGGCTAGTTCTCAGTGACTATAAGAGCTAGAGCCACCAAATTCTTCAGCTCCGGACTGCTGTATGCTCACACTGAAACCAGTGTATTTCAAAAGAAGAACCACGCCCCCGCAAAAGGGCGAAAACCTCCCAAACCTCTTTCTACAATTTTGAAGATAAAAGAAAACTAAAAACGCCATTCCGTAGGGAATGGCCATATCTACCAGATCACCAAATTGGGATCCGATTGGATCATTATTATAGACACAATAAATAAATTAATTTCTAGTGGGTAAACCCACCCTGTCCAGCAGCTTTTGTTGTTATTTTTTCACAAAGTCTCATTCACACTCTGCTTCTGCTTCACTCGGCCCTGCCTCTGCCGTCCCTCTGCCTTTGCCTCTGCCGACTTTTAACCCACCCCGTCCCGCAGCTTATATTTGTTTTTTTTCGTGTGCGGGCGCTGCCTCTGCCTCTGTCGGAGCGTGTTGGTGTGAGAAGTGTTGTAGATTAAGATGACAGATGAAGAAAAAATTTAAAATTTGACAAAACAGCGCTAAGGTGCAGATGTAGTACTGAGTGCCGGGTATAAAAGTTGTGACGCGTAAGAAGCGTCTCACACGTCCCTTCTCGTTTTTATTGCAACTGTGAAGGCTATAAAAGGACTTGTCGTGTGGATGCCGCAGCTTAGTTAGTTTGACGATACGCTTACACGGACACGGTGCACCATGTCCGAGATCAAGGTTGATCCCGAGCTGGAGGAAGAGCAGAAGCCCTGCAACATATTACCTGGCCCAGAGCTACTGGCCCTGCCGGGATTCGATCAGAGGACCAGCATCGCCTCGGCGGCTTTGAGTGATGTGCCCAGCGACGTGATCATCAAGTCTCGCATTCGATATGGAAGTCCTTTGTCCGCCTGTAAGGGTCTGTTGCTGGAGTACTCAAAGAACACGACCATACACGGCATACGATATCTGTTTGAGGTTCATCGTCCCATCTATGAGAAGTATGTGGTGTGGTATCGGTTTTGTTATTAAAACTTTGAGTAATTTCAGAGTATATTGGCTGTTCTTCACATGCATTTCCGTGTATTTTGCCATTTCCCTCATTTGGGACACGTATCTTAAGTGGCAGGAGTCACCTGTAATACTTGGCTTCGACGAGACTCTAGTGCCAGTGCACAAGATACCATTTCCTACTATTACCATTTGTCCCGAAATCAAAATGGAACGCAATCTCTTTGATTATACGAATGTATCGCGTTTGCTCTGGGAGGAATACCAAAAGAATGGTAATGCAACCAGCATGGATGATGAAGAGTTGAGTATATATAGTTAGAAAAACTGTCAAAAATCTTTCCGTCAACAATTTTATACATATACTTCGACTATTTTTGGGGCTAAAATTTGCTATCATTTACCGTGAAAACTCTCTGAATATTCTACCCATAGATTATCGCGCATGGCTGCTGCCATGCACATCTGTGATCCGGATGTCGTGCATCGTTTTATGCCCATACTCTCGCAAATGAATCCACCTTTTGTGGACATTACCGAAACCTTAATCGAGTTGAGTATATCGAAGAATGAGACGGGTCCCTTTTGCAAATGGAATGGCCGCTTTTATTTTTGCGACAAGATATTCGATTTTGTGGCCACCGATGAGGGTATTTGCTATCAATTCAATGGCTTACGACCCAAGGACATTTATCGTGACGAAAACTACATCAGCTACAAGGATCCCGATATTGTGGATTTCAATAATTTCTTTGACACAGAATTGCCGCGTTGGAACAACATCAGTGGCAATTGGTCGCTGGATACGGGTTTCGTGGATCAAGGACAAAATGCTTATCCACAGCGTACGGTCTTATCGTCCGTGGGCAATGGATTCTTTGCCTTTCTGCAGGGACTGCAGCACAATTTTGACTACGATTGCCGCAGTTTCAAACAGGGCTATAAGGTATACTGTATAATTATACTGACAACTGGGTGTGTCTTTAGTTTCTTCTCAATTGTTTCTCAGGTCTTTCTCAACTCCCCGGAGAGTGTTCCGCTCACGTCAGGCAATTATATTCTTGTTCCCCATGGCGATGAGGTGTTGGTCAGTGTTTTGCCTAACTATGTCATGTCTACCGACAATTTACACGAAATCAGCCCCGAAAAGTAAGAATACAAAAAATAAGAGGTGTTAAAAGAAAATGTAAACCAATTTTCCTTTTTTTCAGGCGGCAGTGTTTGTTCGATGATGAGCGTTCCTTGGCCTTTTTCCGTTCATATTCGCAAAGCAATTGCCAAACCGAATGCCTGGCTAACTTTACAGTTTCCAAGTGTGGCTGTGCCAAATTCTGGATGCCCAGTAAATATATGTGTGCCTTTATTTGTTGAATTTTAAATATTTTTGGTTGATTTGTAGAACCTTTGGGCACTCCCGTGTGTGGTTTGGATGACATTAATTGCTATACGGCTGCCCAGGACGAGCTTTATACATTTTTACAAAATCAAACCATGGAAAAGAGTGTCAATGATAATGTGGAAATTATGTGCAACTGCATGCCGGCCTGCACATCGTTGGAATATAATTTTGAGATATCCCGAGCACGATATGATGTTGCCAAAACCATTAGAGCTTTTCGGGAGGTGTATGAGCACACTGAGTGAGTGCAGAATAACCCTTCACAAAGCGGGAAAATAATTTATTTTATCCCTTTTCGTGCAGTGCTATTGGTTCACGTCTCTCTGTGTACTTTAAGGAGCATCAATTTACTGCCATCAAGCGCACCATTCTGTTTGGTGTTTCCACATTAATATCCAACTGCGGTGGCATCTGTGGCCTCTTCATGGGTATCTCGTGTCTCAGCTTCCTAGAGCTGCTCTATTTCTTTTGCATGCGCATCTGTGGTAGTTATCGCGATCGTCGTAAGCACAAGATACAATCCGTGTGCCCAGAGGATGAGCCTGAGGATAAACTGGACTAAAATATACATTTATGCCACTTAAATATTTAAATGGTATCCACAATTTATTTCACAATCCATTCAATAAAGAAGTTGTCTGGGTTAACATAATATTTCACACTCTCAATGGCACTTTAAGGGTGTGTCCACCAAAAAAAATGTAGTTATTTAGCACTCACATAGAGAGAGAGATACAGCTGGCTGCACTTTAATTGATTACAAATTAAAAATACATTTGATTAGCACATAGCCACAACAATTGATTCACTCTAATTAAGCGATTGTAACACTTGAGCAAAACACTGGGAAATAAATTAAATTGCGGAATCGATTCTAATGGAATCAGCATACAAAATGCCTGTTAACCTGTTTGCCACAGTCACACAATCACATTCCTGCGTGTGGGTCATATTTTATCTAAAGGCGGCAATGGAAATAAAGACAAGTCGAAACGTGTTAGTTGCAATACTAAGGATTCCTAAAAGCGCATTGTATTTCGATTAAACGTTTTCAAACAGCTAATATTTTCGACATTTTGCCCATGATAATGATCTCCTAGTTTATACCCGGTACTCGAAGAGTAAATAGGGTATCTTGTATTGGTGTGAATAACGGTTGTAGGAAGGAAACGTTTCCGTATATATTCTTGATCAGCATCAATAGCCGAGTCGATAGAGCCATGTCTGTCTGTCCGTCTGTCCGTCTTGTTTGTCGGCTAGTTCTCAGAGACTATAAGAGCTAGAGCCACCAAATTTTGGATCCGGACTGCTGTATACTCACACTGAAACCAGTGTATTTCAAAAATGAGCCACGCCCCCGCAAAAGGGCGAAAACCTCCCAAACCTCTTTCCACAATTTTGAAGATAAAAGAAAACAAAAAACGCAATTCCGTAGGGAATGGCCATATCTATCAGATCACCAAATTGGGATCCGATTGGATCATTATTATAGCCACAATAAAGAAATTATTTTGCTGTGGTTAAACCCACCCTGTCCAGCAGATTTTGTTGTTCCTTTCACATTATCTTATTCACACTCTGCATCATCTGCTTCACTCGGCCCCTGCCTCTGCCCTCCCTCTACCATCTCTCTACCGACTTTTAACCCGCCTCGTCCCGCAGCTTACATTTGTTTTTTTTTGTGTGACGGCGCTGCCTCTGCCTCTGCCGCAAGTCAGCAGTTGTGGGGCTAGGGAAGAGCGGCGAGCGTATTGGTGTAAGAAGTGTTGTAGATGTAGATAACAGATGAAGAAAAAAATTAAAATTTGGCAAAACACCGCTGAGGTGCAGATGCACTATTGTCCCAATGACCAGTTTTGGTGGCTGTTTACACCAAATTAGCGCAAAGGGCCGGGAGCAATTAGTATTTTGTATAAGTAAAATGAATTTGTAGTATTAAGCTATTGAATTGTTGCATTTACGATGAATACGATAGAGAAAGAGGAAGAACATACGTGAATTACGAAATTGAACAGAAGAAGAGATTAAATTGATTTGAATTCCGACTCGGTCGAACAGCAGCACTTGGCTTTTTATTTCGAGATTTTGATTCTGAACTGATTGCGAGGAGTTGCGGAAACAGTGGCCAAAAGCTAATTTTTAAAAGTTAAAACCAAGACACGGTTTTTAACGCTCTGTATTAGAAAAAGAGTGACCATCAAAGTTGCGTACAATAAATTTTCATAGATGGCGCCACTTTCAAAAAATCTGCTGTGAAACCTAGCGGTCATTACTTCACAGAATGTGCAGGGAAAAAGTACCTATTTTATTGCTGTTTTAAATATCTCATAAATTTTAAAATACGATTAACTGATCTAATTTTTTGTCTCACATGTCCCTTCTCGTTTATTTATATATTTAATATAAATAATATAAATAATGGAATACGTGGTTGTGTGTTCCGCTAAGGCTTGCAAAAAGCAGATCACCCACGACCAGCCGAGCATCCTTTGATGGCTCTGCGATAACGTAGTGCACGCAAAATGTATTGGGTTCTCAGGCCTCGTGGGTAAAGCGTAATGGTCTGCATTACAGTTGCGAGGCATGTCGGTCTGTCGAGAATGACATTGTCACGTTTATGAGGCACACGCGAAAGGGCTTTAAGAAGCTGACCGTGGGCTTTAAAAAACAGTACGATCGGCTTCTAGCCATGGAGTCTCAATTCAGCGGTTTTGAGTGAGGCACTCACCTGCTGAGTGAGTCTCCTAGGCGATTAAGGGTCACTCCTCGTGATCTGCAAGTGCCTGTCCCTCGATCGCACGCTGCTGATCAACTGTCTCCGTCCACTCTGATAGTGCAGAAGATAATTTCGTTCGCCACTGGTGATCAAGTTTCGGCTACCGAATCGATCATCTCGAAGAACATTCAGCCAGTTAGTACTGTAGCATCCGTGTCTGTCTGAGCCCGTTCCAAAGCCCATCCCTTCTATTTCGATCCCACCAGTTAATAAACGCCCCGGACCACCGGATATTGCCGTCACAGGTACCATATGTGGTGCCAAAACCTCTGGTGGGAGTCCCACCGAAGCGGCAAGTTTTTGTCTCTCGGCTTGCCCCTTAAAGGTGGAGAAGTTTAATTTCTCTTATGCCAGGGAGATATCCTCTTTCAAGATTAGCGTGTCTCCAACTCATTTCGAGACCATTTGCTCTTCCAAATTTTGGCCAGAGCACCTGGTTGTGAAAGAGTTTAAGGCTAAGAAGAAAAATAGGCCCCCCATAACTCTTCCTAGTAGTGAGGCCAGTGGTCCTTGCTCCTCTGCTCCATTCCCCTCTTCCCACTGCAATTCCTTTCAGTCAAAAAACTAACATCCCTCTTTGTAGCCTATCAAAATGCTCGCGGCTTACGTAGTAAGCTGAGCACTCTTTTTATGGATAGTTTCACATTTTCATCCCATGTTATTGTGTTTACCGAAACCTGGTTAAAGCCGGACATTCTTAGTTCCGAAGTTTTGGCAGATCGGTACACAACTTATAGAAATGATCGTTCGTCTCGACGTGGAGGAGGGGTTCTGATTGCAGTAAACTCTAACTTTACATCGGAACTTTTCATAGTCCAGGTCTCACAAGACCTGGAATTCCTCTGTGTTAGACTGATTCTTCCCGGCCAATCTATTTATGTCACTTGCTCGTATATTCCACCGTCTTCGGATGTACTAATATACGAGCAGCATTTGTCTGCCTTAAAAACTGTTTCTTTCTCGCTATCAGATAAAGACCATTTAATAGTTCTTGGGGATTTCAACCTGCCAGGAGTCAAACAACCTTGTGCCCATGGCTTATTAGACCTGTCCCTGTCCCTGATTGCTTGATCTGTGCTTTGTCTCGGATCCGACCGTAGCGTTGTTAACACGAGCACTCCCGCTCACTATACCTGAAGACTGCTATCATCCTACTTTCGAAGTGTCGATAGATATTGGACCTACTGTATCGGATCGTGCGGGTAGGCTATCTGAACGCGTCCGCTGCTTTCGTAAAGCCGAGTTTACGAAGCTCAATAACTTAATTCGAAATTTTGATTGGTCCGCTCTGTACTTGTGCAGTGACGTCATTGAAGGCACAAACATTTTTTACAATGTACTTGACACAATTTTTGACACGCGTGTCCCACTTTCATGTCCGACTAGATCTGCGAAACCTCCTTGGTTCACCAAAGAGTTATCCAGTCTAAAAAATCTAAAATCAAGACTATTTAAAAAATCTCAAGAAGTTGGTTCTCCCTCTTCTCTTTCTAATTACTTAATAGCTCGGTCAAATTTCACTGTTCTTAATGCTCAATGCTATAGGAACTACCTCCTTCGATGCAGGATACGTTTTTCAAAGGNGTCTGGTCTTCGGTTAACGAGTCAAACAACCTTGTGCCCATGTCACGACATGAGTTTATTGATGGCTTATTAGACCTGTCCCTGTCTCAAGTCAACCATGTAAAAAACTCCTTGGGTCGATTGCTTGATCTGTGCTTTGTCTCGGATCCGACCGTAGCGTTGTTAACACGAGCACTCCCGCTCACTATACCTGAAGACTGCTATCATCCTACTTTCGAAGTGTCGATAGATATTGGACCTACTGTATCGGATCGTGCGGGTAGGCTATCTGAACGCGTCCGCTGCTTTCGTAAAGCCGAGTTTACGAAGCTCAATAACTTCATTCGAAATTTTGATTGGTCCGCTCTGTACTTGTGCAGTGACGTCATTGAAGGCACAAACATTTTTTACAATGTACTTGACACAATTTTTGACACGCGTGTCCCACTTTCATGTCCGACTAGATCTGCGAAACCTCCTTGGTTCACCAAAGAGTTATCCAGTCTAAAAAATCTAAAATCAAGACTATTTAAAAAATCTCAAGAAGTTGGTTCTCCCTCTTCTCTTTCTAATTACTTAATAGCTCGGTCAAATTTCACTGTTCTTAATGCTCAATGCTATAGGAACTACCTCCTTCGATGCAGGATACGTTTTTCACAGGACCCTAAACAGTTTTACAGCTTTGTAAACAGTAAGCGTAGAACGTCCGCACATCCATCCTCGCTATCATTTTTGAATATGTCGGCAAACAATGATCAGGCAATCGCCGATCTTTTTGCAACATTTTTTCAAATAACCTATTCCCAGCAAAGCTACCCATGTCATATGTATCCATATAGTTTACCAAGGTCGAATGGCATTTTCTGTCCTTTGTTTAATGAAGGCTCCTTACTTCATGAACTTAAATTAGTTAAGCCGGTATTTTCACCGGGCCCTGACGGAGTTCCCGGCTGTGTACCCAGGTACTGTGCCGAGTCTCTGTGCGGACCTTTGCTTAAACTATTCACTCTATCTATCCATTCTTCTAGCTTTCCCCCCATCTGGAAGGAATCCTTTATAATTCCTCTCCATAAAAAAGGTAGCAAGTCTGACGCTAAAAACTATAGAGGTATATCTAAGTTATCCCCTATTCCTAAAATGTTCGAGAAACTTGTAACTCCGCACTTGCAGCATCTCTGCAAATCACTTGTATCTCCGGCACAGCACGGATTTATACGGCGACGATCAACAACCACTAATCTTTTAGAGTTCACCTCCTTTGTAATTAAAGGCTTCCAAGGTAACTTGCAGACGGATGTTATTTACACTGACTTCAGTAAGGCATTCGATTCTGTCAACCATTCTCTTCTTGCACAAAAGCTCGACCTTCTAGGGATTCCGCCCAATCTGTTGAGATGGATTTCTAGCTACCTGTGTTCTAGGTCTCAAAGGGTCCTTTTCAAAAACTCCTTATCTTTACCTGTTATGGTTACTTCTGGAGTACCACAGGGTAGCCATTTAGGCTCCTTACTTTTCACACTCTTTAT